ATCGCTCGGAATGGAAGCATCCCGACGGGAGACCCTGGGTGCCGCACCACCCATATCCGCGCGAAGTTGTGCTGCACAACACTGACCCTGATGGCATCTGCAGACACTGCCACACGCCAACAGCATCAACCAGCGCCATCGCGGGACGCGGACTTGTTGCAATCGCCGAAACAGAGCGATTCGCGCCACCCGAAGAAGGGATGTCCGCCGTGGAACTCGAAGTCGTGACGCAAACCGTCTTCGGCTCCCAAAAGATCCTCCCCCTGGCACACCAGCAGAGCGGCTTCAAGGTATCTTATGCGGACGGCGTCACAGAACCTTCGTTGCACGCAGAGTGGTATGCCCCTATACGAAGGAAGATTTTCTGAAGGTCTAGCCCCACTGGCGCGACCCCGCGAAGAAGCTTACCATCACTCAAGAAGAAGTGCTGGCGCGCCGTGAAGCCGAAGAGCTTCGTTAGAAGAGCATCGCTGAAGCGCGCAGAACCTTCGCGTGCAGTGCATGGAGCGCAGAAGAAGAGAGCGCCACCAATGACGGGGGGTGGGGAAGAACCGACGGTTGGGGAACGAGCGACACCGGCGGTTGGGGCAACACTGGAGGTACCTGGGCAGATGCTGGCGACGGATGAGGTACTGCAATTGGCGGCGCCAATAGCGGATGGGGCACTACTGGCGAAGGATGGAGCGCATGGCGAGGAGAACAAAGGGGGTGAACATATGAAACAAAAGAAACTGGGCCCGCTATTGTTCCCCTCGGACGACCTCCGTGCCTCCCCGCATCTGCGCCGCTTCCTGCTGACGTTCAACTGCATCGCGACCCTTGGGACACCATCGACTAAGGCAATGAGCCCTTGACCCCGCGTCACATAGTCTACGGCCCCGATCCCGAGCCGCATGAGCCTACTCTTGTCCTCGGAACAATCCCTGGGACCAACATCTCTCTCCGTGATTCCCGACAGGGAATTTCGGGCGCTAATGCTGACGACGATCAACGAAGAGGAGTTAGCAGAACCTAACAGAACCTACCCCAGTGCCTGAAGAAGACTCCAAAGCGGTTCGCGCACGATACATGCGCACCTCTGGCCTCCGCGCAAACGACGACCTGTGGCATCAGCACCTCGGTCATTCGTCGCAAGCAAACCCTGACCAGCTATATTGATGTGGGAGTCTTCGTACCCGGCGCACTCCTGCGCCCTGATGGCTCCAGAGTCCGAACAACATCGCAGCCGCGCAACTGCACCATCTGAGTCATCGACCGTTCCCACTGCTGGAACTTGGAACCAATCGATATCCCAAACTGCACAAGGTGTATAGCAGCTTCCTTGTCGTCAGCCACGGCAGAATCAACGACGAGGGGTACACGCTCACCTTCGTCGACGCGGGAACCCACTACGTGTGGATCGCAAACATGCAGTTCTGCAGCAGGGCGTACGAGGTCTTCCACCTTTGGCTGGTGCACGCAAAGCAACAATCCGGGAAGAAGTTGCAGATTTGGCAAACTAACGGCACGGCAGAATTCTGTAGCAAGGAGCTGAAGGACTACTTGGTGCAAAAGGGAATTTCTCACCGCATGCTCATGACGAAGGTGCGCGCGCTGCTGAAGCAGTCGAAGCTTCCCCCGATGTACTGGCCGTATGCGATGCACCACGCCGTGCGGGTGCACAATCTCCTCTCCACCACCGCCATCACAGGGAACATGTCTCCGCACTTGAAGTGGACCGGCAAGAGGGGCGACACCTCCATGCTCCGCGTGTGGGGGTGCATGGTGCAGTATTGCTCGCCGACCTCGACCATCGACACATTCGCAAGCCACGCGCGTTGGGGGGTTCATCTCGGCATAAGCTACGAGTATAACGTATGGATAACCCGCGACGTCATCGCCTACGAGCGACTCAACCTCTCCCAGTACTGCGTAGTCAAGTAGGCGAACGCAAACCGGGTCTACGCGAACGACGGGCACAGCTACGCTACTCCTGAAGACGAAGCCGCCGCTGTAATCTTGGAGTAGGACAACGTGAGCGACTTCACCGACATCGGCAGAGGCGATGACGACGACGACAGCGACGACTCGCCTCCAGGACCTGCGGGAGGAAGGAACAGGGACGCTCCGCCATCGCCACCACCTGAGCCCGAAAGCGACGATGACGACGTGCAGGAAGTCTTTCCGCAGCATCGTCATGACAGCACTGTTTCCGGGCTGCAACTACTAGGCCTATAAATAGCTACCTCCGCAGCTCCGCGCGTCCTCGAGCCGAAGAACCTACGCCAAACTTTAACAGGACCACACAGCAAGGAATGCCGCGGAGCCATGGATGCAGAAATTAAGGCACTGGAATCGCGCGATAACTGGGTGCTCGTCGATCGTGCAGCCATCAAGGGCAGGAGAGTGCTTTTAGGGAACTGGGTCTACCGCGTGAAGACCGCAGCAGACAGGACGATCGAGCACTTCAAGGCGCGGTGGGTCGTACGCGATTACGATCAGAGGCATGGGATTGATTTCGATCATAAATTTTCTCCGGTTAGCCGTCACACCTGTGTCAGGATCATGCTCGCTATCGCCGCGGCAAGACACCTACCTCTCTGCCAGATCGACATAAAGAACGCATTTCTCTATGCGCTGGTGGACGCAGTGATTTTTGTGGAGCAGCCGCACACCTACGGCGAAGGGGACCCGCATGTCTGCGAGCTGAAGAAGTCACTTAATGGGATAATGCAAGCACCACAGCTCCGGCAGCAGCACCTGCACAAAATCCTACTCGAGATAGGATTCCAGCAGCTGCCACATGACCCACGCATGTATCGCCTGCATTTCTGCAGCAACTACATCCTTCTCACCGTGTATGTCGATGATCTGCTCTACACAGGGACGAGCACCACGTTGTTTGACCAGCTCGAGAAGAACATGGCAATGCGCGTCGACATTACCACCAACCATGACATGAAGCAGTTTCTGGGCCTTAACATCTCTTACTCGCCAGAGGCCATTCATCTCTCAGCTGCCAAGTACGATGAAACTCTCGAAAAGTGGTTCAACATTTCCCCCGCACCACTCTCCACTTCCTACCGCACACCCAGACCGAACCACAAACCCGACAACCAAACCATGTCCCCTGCAGAACTTTACACTTACCAGCAGCAGTTGGGGTGCCTGCTCTTTGCCTCAGTCACATGCAGGCCAGACCTCTCCTACATCGCGAGCCAACCGGCTCAGTACTCTCGCAAACCAACGGCTGAAAATCCCGTAGATCTTCAGCGCGCCTTGCAATTCTTCATCTTCACGCCCAACATTGGGCTATGCTACTCCACAGTCACGACCCCTTCCTTCAACCTCATCGGCTGCGTGGACGCCGATCATGCTGCTGACCCCGACAATCCACGGTCCAGAACCGGGTCTGTTAACCGCACCAAACACATGGCGCTGCGATACTTTTTCGTCAAAGACGAAGTCGACAAGGGCAAGGTCGATTTAACCTATTGCCTGACGGGTGACATGGCAGCGGACTTCCTCACGAAGCGACTGCCCCATCAGCAGTACCAGCACTGCTCCAAACTCAGCGGAGTAGTCAAGCGGGTCAAGACTTGCTACGGCCAGGAGTGAAGGGGGGTGTTACGAATAGTAAATTACGAAAGCACTGTGCACTCCTAACAGTAGCAAGTAAAACATGCAGTAAAGAGTACGAAGACGAAAAGGCGGATTGACGCAAACAGTCGCGTACGATTTCGAAGAAGCTGGACCGTCGCGGCAGACTGCATCGGGCAGCTGCAGTGGCGAGGATTCTGCCGGGAACAGTTCGCAACCGTCTGGAGGCGCACGGTTGGATTTTGTTGTAATAAGGCAATGTACCCCTTAGAGTACATGGCTAGCCTAGGTCGTTTCGTATTCCCCTGTACTCTTATTTATACAAATGGATTTGCATGTTTTTATCATCTCAGTCATTTTACATCCACTCTGTAACACTCTCTGCGAACCTTCCTGAGGTGATCCTAGGGACGATCAACCTTTGATCTCAACACATGCTCCACTCGCTTTTTGCCACGTTGCTTCCACCAGTCCCAACACACGGATTGCTCGTCTCGAACATGGCATGGTGAAAGGTGGGAGAATGGGCAGTGTTGGGCAAGAGCGCAGCAATGGAACTCGTTGCCTACACAGATGACATCACAGTTGCGGGGCCTTCTGAGCGGGCTTGCGAAGCCTTTGCCATGATTGTCTCAAATACAACATTGCAGCTTGCGGTGCAACGTCCACAAGTCCAGTACCTGGTACCCGACGGCAGAGTACCTAACATACCAGCCACCATGCCTCACAGGCTGGTGGCTAGCGCCGACGGCATCCGCGTTCCGGGCAGCCCGATTGGCACCAGGGCTTTTGGAGCGGACCTGCCCTGCTACAAGGGGAGTTGCAGGACGCGGCAGCACCAGCCACCGCTATCATTTCTGCTTCTGCACATACATGTATGCTAGGTTAGAATTTCACAATTTGTTCACCAAGATACTCATTACTTGCGTCAATTTGGTTCTGCTTCACATAGAGCATGAGCCTGAGCGTAAGGTCCTCCTCGGAGCCATTAGCGTATTCCTACGGCCTCCTATCAAGGCCACCTCCTATCAAGATTGTACTTTTTGCCTGGTAAAAGTAGCGAGAGGTTTTGGGTAAAGGGGATTTTTCAGTGTGAGCTTGATACGAGGTTCGCTTGATAGGAGGATAGGAATACACTCTTAGTGATCCCTCACATCACATCCATCCGCGATTGAAAGCAATAACATTCTGAAACGGGTTTCCATAAGTTTCAGCACAAATACATCTGATAAGCCTCAGGGGGGGATATTAGAAAAATTAAGGCCAAAAAGGTGCGGTATAAACCCCTATGGCCGTCTGTCTGGGTGAATACGATAACGCTTAGTATAGCAAATAAGCACCATAAGATAGTAAGGGAAATATGGTGATGTCTCAAGCTATACGGCTTCATGAAAGTGTCACCGTGAGCCTCAACAAATGACCTACAAGAGTTCTGGAAAAAGGTCATCCCACCAATGAGCACCTTGAAGCCTTTCCTTGCATCCGTGCTCCGGTCTGCCACTGCATGCATCCCTACCCGGGCTTGTGCCCAGAAAATCATCAAAATGCATGAAGCAGCTGGTGCTCTCACTCCCACCCACACTATGAGCCTTACTGACTTGTCCCTTACTGAGTCCAATCTCCTCAAGCAGCCCCCCTTTCTCCACGTCTTCATGCATGCTCCACTCGCTTTCCGCCACGCTGCTCCCACCAGACCCAGCAAGCTGATTGCTTGTCTCAAACATGTCATGATGGAGAGCAGCAGAGATGAGGGTTCGGCTGCAGGGTTTGAGGTCAGCAACTGATGACAGAGGGAAGGTTGCTCCAAGAGGGGAAGGATGTGGGGAAGTGAAAGGGTTCACAGGGAAGGCAGAGGAAGGGTCAACCAGAACTGAATCGTGGCCATGTGTGGGCTGCTGTGTCTGCTGCTGTGCCTCGTGCTGTGTCTTCTGAGCCTGCCACTGCGACTCTGCCTGTTGCTGCCAACATCCCTCCTCTCGGCTTTGCGCTACCTGCCCCAGAGGCGACCCAGAAGCTCTCTCCCACCCCTTATGCAGCTGCTGCACCTCCCAACCGAGCTCTTCTTGGTGCAGCCAGGGCCGCCCTTCGTCTTTCACCTGTGTGTCATACAAGGCCACGGAACATCTGTTCCCCTGGGCCGTTGATTGGAGATACGACGCTTGTTGATGAGCAGATCTGCGCCGTTGGATTTGTGCTGTGCAGAATCCCCTCTGCTGTAGCATGTGGTTATCAGGTGATTCAGCTTCAGGAGTTTGCAACAGAGTCAGGTGTCCTGTGGTTTCCTCCACTGCTGGGCTGCTGTGCAGAAATGTATCTTGGTGTTGTGATGATGTAGGGATGGAGGACGTGCAATGAGGGACGGGAAATGGGCATGGAAAATCTGCAGCAGGTGCTTGCTGGGTAGTTGTAGTAGACCAAGAAGCGTGCGGTTCTGATGGTTCTGGGTAGGTTAGAAGTGCAGGAGATGGGTGGAGAGTTGTATCGAAAGTACACTGTGGGTCTGAACAAGGGTTTGGCTGGTGCTTGGGAGTGTAACACGGGTGGTGGCGTGACATTGGGGAGGGCTGAAGGGAAGGAGGTTGTCGAGGGGGGTGGAAAACAGAGGGAGGGGTAGTGTGTGGGGCAGTGTGAGGGGCAGTGTGAGGGGCAGTGTGAGGGGCAGTGTGAGGGGCAGTGTGAGGGGCAGTGTGAGGGGCAATGTGAAGGGCAGTGTGAGGGGCAGTGGGAGGAGCAGTGAGAGGTGCAGTGTGAGGGGCAGTGGGATGGGAACAGAAGAACTGAGGGTGGGGGGTGGGAGGGTGGGTCACAAGGATTGCGGGACACTGGCAATGCTGGTTGATGTTCAGAAGAGGAGGATGAGAGTGGGGGCATGCTTTCTGTGTGGCACCCAGCGCATGCTGTGGCACCTGAAGCAACACCTGATGTGGTGTCGTCTGTTGCACCAGGGGTGCCACTGGTGGTGGCACCTGTGGTGGGCCCTGCGGCTGCAGCTGCTGCTGCTGGAGTGGTGGATGCTTCGGTTGCGGCTGCTGCTGTTGTTCATGCTGCCTGTGCCGTGCTTTCTTTGACTTCGGCCCTCCTGCTTCGGCTGCACCCAGCTGCCGCTTCTGCTTCTGCTCTCGCCACCGCTTGGCATGGGCGAACACGAGCATGCACCAGCTGCAAGGGGGTGGGATGGGGTGAGAAAAGGTAGGAAATATACAACAGGGTTTAGAGATGATGCTCTTGCTTACAACGCGATAAGCGGAGGAGTAGGAGGAGGTGGAGGAGGAGGAGGAGGAGGAGGAGGAGGAGGAGGAGGAGGAGGAGGAGGAGGAGGAGGAGGAGGAGGAGGAGGAGGAGGAGGAGGAGAAGGAGGAGGAGAAGGAGGAGGAGGGGGGTTACAAGAAGGAAACAAGGAAACGCCAACTGTGTAAGCAAGGTTTCTTAAGATTAACACCTAGTATACCATTTGAAGTAGCCACTAGTCAGCCAACCAAGCTCATTGCAATCCACCCATTTTTTGCATTTGAATGGAGACCCTGAGGAGGCACCTATGCAAGGGAAGAGAGAAGGCAGGCGGGCATACCTGATGGCCTTGTTGTGCTCGTCCAGACACTTCCTGCTGTCGGCCCGATCACTGGATGACTCAGCTACCTGCCCCGCCTTTGTAGTAGCACTCGCTGCAAGCGGCGACGAATCAGTGGACGAGGCTGCTGAAGCCAGCCCTGCAGCAGCAGGGGTGGAGCCCCGAGGAGAGGCGCAGGGAGCTGCCTGCATGGGAGTGCTGTCAGTCTCCGGCCCTGCCTCCATCCCTGCTCCAGCAAGCACGAAGCTCCGGAGAGACGCGCTGGTCGAAGAAGCAGTCCTGCTTAGTAGAGGAGTGCCCTCCGCATTCCCTGCTGATGCCACCTCGTGTTGATCGTCCTTCGCAGCAGCGGTGGTTCGTGCAGCGGAGGCAGGGCTACCGGAAGTAGTAGGGTTACCACATGTGGTAGGGTTACCAGCACCGCCGCCAGAGGGGATTTTCTCGATTCCTTCAGGGTTGCCATCTTCAGCGGCCATTTCAGCAGCGGAGGAGTGCAGGCAGCGCATGATCTCGTGCACCGGCATGGGCGGCACAGGAAAGTCCATCATTGAATCTTCTGAGTCAAACGGGTCGTCCGAGTCAATGCCGCCGCCCAGGCCGCAGCCGCTCATGATGCTGGGGACAGTGCCGGAGCTGGGAGAGCTGCTGGTGGAGTCTGCTTTGTTGGCATCTTGGATGAATTTTCTGAATGCATAAGAGAAAGGGAGCATGATAGGTGGGTGAGGGGAGGGAGGTCGGGGTTCAGCAAAAGTTTTTTTATGGCCTTAGAGGAGTGCGACTCGGGATATAGGACTTATAAGAAGACCTAGTGATGTGTGGGTAATTATGCTTTACTCTTTTTGCATTGAGTCAGCAGACAGACAACGATGGTCGTCCGACAAACCTAAAGTTAGAGATTGTAAAAGCCATCAAACATCACATTTGGGAGGGACAACTTTGCTAGATGTTGGTGAAATATGCCAATATCCGCTCCAATCAAGGAAAGTACTTTGGCGATGGCCGGACACCTTATATGTTTCCTCACCTCTTCAGGAGCAAGAATCGGTTACAGCAAGCCTTGCTGTCTCGATGACGTCCTAGCATATTGCTCTGTTGAAGCAACGCCCATTGCGACGTGCCATTGTACAGCACATGCTCGAGAAGTATCTTGTCTTCCTGGAGGAAAAAACATAGGAAATGATGAGGTATGTTTTAGGAAGCTGCTTGCATCAATTAGGAGCCAATTTATAGGTTAGTGAAGTCACTGTAAGGAATCCACCGCTGAAATATATCTGAAGTTTGTTGCAGCTGAAACGCAACTTGCATCAACGCACCTCCGAACTCCACCGTGCCGCGTATGTCCTGCCCGTTGTGTTACCACGGCTGCCCATGTCGAATCAGCTTCGCATAAAGTTCTCGTCACTCGTTGCCTCACCTCCCTCGCACCCAGCCTGTGGAATGCAAGTCTTCGCGCTTTCTTGCAGTTCCTCCACTGCGCGGTAACCGGATGAAAGCGAACGTAGGGTCTGGCGCGAAAACGGACGCGACGACAGAACTTCCCCTGCGACAAACGGCTGCTGAAGGCAGAGCGACTCGCAAAGGTTTCTAAAAGCTCCTCCCCCACCTGCCCAATTTCTCAGCTGCTCGGATGCTGTAATTGCTCCGCTTCTCGCGCACAGTTGCTCGCTCCGCTTCTCGCGCCCCACAGCTGCTCGCTCCGCTTCTCCCGCTCAGCTGCTCGCTCGGCTCGTCCTCTGCTGCTCGTCGCTCGCTACTCAGAAAGACGAATTCTCGGATAGTGCGGAAATGCATTCGCCGACGCAAGTTACGGGTTTTCAGTCAACGGGCGGGAATATCTGGAGAGGCGCCGCACGTGCCGAGCTAAATCGATATACGCTTGAATGGAAGGGGCACTCGAGCTAGATCGATATCGCGTAGGCAGATCGTAGCGACAGAGCCCTGATCCTTGCTCAACAAACGTATGTCCCTTCCCAACAATGCAGACAATGCAGGGACTGAACAATGGTAGAGAAGTCCGGCCTCCGTGAATTAGTGCAACCCGTGCGGAAAGTCTCCAATTCTCTGCGCAACGCGAGAAGGTTCCGAGTTCAACCGCCAACCAACCTTTCAAAACCTGTGAAGACAAGCAACAGGTTATGACAAGCCGTCGCACCCAGCTTTTGAGGCGACTAAGAAAACGCGGCGTCTTTCAGATCAGCACCAAAGAGCGAAGCAGCCCACCGTAGGAGCCGAGCTAACAAACAACCCTCAAACTCTAGAACCCACGCTTTGTGATTGCCAATCGAAACTAAGCGCTGCTGCCAATTGGGCTCCGCACCTGAAACAATGATGACCGCCGAAGCACAGTGCTAGCTTCCGCAGCTTCCGATGAAGCCTCCGGTCGAATAGGAGTCCGACTCTCTCGAAGGGGTTGATCCGAGCCCGGCGCGAGCTTCCGTTGTCTCTCTCCCTCCGCGTGATATTGCTTCTTTTCCTATCTCTCTTGCTGTGCGGCTCTGCTCGCTGTGACGGCCACTGCTGGCGCTTCACGTGCTCGCAATGCTGCTCCCCGTGCCGGTGAATGGGGGGATGCTGTGCCCACCTGCTGCACTAGGCCGATGGACAGGGGGGGGATGGGCAGGAGTGAGAGCCCGAGATTGCGGAACGTTGTGGAGGACGGATCGCGGAGTTGAAATATCTCCGAGTGGCCCAATTCGCCGTTTTTGTGTTGCACAAATGCGGCGGGATCCTAGATCTCATGGACAAGGAATGCCAGCCAAGTTGACTGTGCTTCACGGAAACACCCAAAGAGGGTTCGGGGGAGAAAAGGAGAGGCGAAAGGCAGGGAGGTGGAGATGAACTGACGTGGGCAGCGCCACCTGGCGCAGGCTGATTGGCCTAATCCGCCGCTATTCGACCTTTCGCATTGCTGTAAAGTCAGGAAGCAACAGCGCGGAGAGCCTGCCACAGGCTGTCGACGGTCGAGCGGAATGCGCCGATGAGGCGGAGGTTCTGGAAGGCCTTGGGACTCCGATCGGCGAGGCAAGTGATTTGTGTGAGCAAGCGGAACGGTCGGGGAGCCAAGTTGCTCTAAGCTTCGTGCTAATGTGGGAAGCAGCAGCTTCGGCAACTTTCTGTAACCCGCTCAGTGTTGTTCGCGACGCACGCTGCACCGTGTGCCACTGTTCGTGGCGACATGTACAGAACCGTGCTGGAGGAGGCCTTTCTACTGGCTGGAAGCGCGGTGCGCGGAAATCATCGGCAGGTTGCCCGGCAGTTAAACAGCAGACAATCGTCAAGTGCATGTGTGAGGGAACTGGGAGCAATTCATCACGTCTGGGAGAGGCGAGGCGAAGGAAAGAGGAGTACAGCAGTGGTGTGAGTGAGGTAAGCGGCTTAGGCGGAGGGGGGTGGAAGTGCCTAGAGTGTGGAGTGCAGATTGTCGCAGCGTTGTGAGCGTTTGACATTGCTTGCTTGTGGCAAGCTGACCACAAGGAAATCTCGCCACTAACGAACGGAGGATGGCTTTGCGTGTCGTTTTGTAGGGTGCTGTTACCTGGTGCGCCACTACAGTAACGTGGGAACAACTTCTCGAAAGCACTTTTGCTGCCCTGCTAAGGTCGTATCCCTGGCTAGTGTCAAGTGCGGTTAGTGTCATGACACTATCTCGGAAAACGCATGGAGGACTAGTCCTCCTGGTGTCAGCTAAACCGACCAATCTGATTGCGGGAAATTGCCCAATGTGCCCAACATTGACACCAGGCTGGAGCCGCGTGCGGGCGCGGCTCCACCTGGTGTTAAGCGAATATCCCGCTTGACACCAACAGTATCTTGACACTAGCCAGGGATACGACCTAACTAGCAATATGATCCGTGGGCATTTTTGTATCTACTAGCCTTGCTTTCGTTTGTCTCTGTCCATCATGCCATGCCTTACAAAAATGCATGCCGCCACCCTGCTGCTTGCACCCATCTTGCTTGTACACGTACTGTGAGGAGATTACGCTTAGCAACAAACTCGTTGTTTTCCTTTTCCCCAAGTGCGAGGGTGAACGAACCAAGCGAAAAACGTGAACACAATATTCCTGGATGGCAAATCCAGAGATTGGACGGGGGAAAATACGCAGAGACGAAGAGAACTTTTGTCCTAGAAAGGAATGGAAGACTGGACGACGCGCGATGCAAAACCACGTCAGCACCAGCGTTCTTGCCCCTCGTAAGCGCAGCGCGCGCGAATTTCCAGTGCCGCACTGGCGAAAAACGAGCGTCCCGATGCAATGGAAGTGGTGGAGCTCGAGGGGATGACTCGCTATGTGCATCTTCTTTTCCCGTTTTTTTTTCACAGACCTGCTGATAGTAACATGATATATTCTCAAGGAATTACTCATTTGAGAACATTCCCTTTTTGTGTTTGAATGCTAGTACAGTTCTCCTTTATAGAAAGAACCTTCGTACCTAATTTACACGATATGAAAGGGTTGAGATTTGACATTTTCAGCACTTGTACTGGGGGCAATAATAGTCAAGAAAGGCGGACACAAAATGCATTTTCTCTGTTATCCATCCAAAGTTCCCATAGATTGGGGTATCCCGTGCAAAACGGGGGAAAACAACAATAAAATGTCAACAAACAAGTCAGAAATGATGTTTCGGACCCCTCCTAGGCAAGTAGGATGAAAGATACACTTCATCCTCTCCTACACCTCCCAAATCATCCGACTCATCACCAAGATATTTGTCCTCATCTCCAACATCCCTATCCGCCACGTCACCACCTACACCGTCATAATTCCCCACATTATCGCCAGCACCGGTATCGTCATCTGCGTCAAGATCCACGTCAGCAGAAAAGGCACCAGCACCTGCCACATCAGCAGCACCAGTGTCCTCATCCACCTGACCTGGAGTCGCCACGTCAGCAGAAATATCTCCAGCGACCAGAGCAGCAATAGCCGTGTCGTCAGCATCAGCAGGGTTACCAGCAGCGTTACGAGCAACAGATGCACCAGTAGGGTTACCAGCAGTGGGGGTTTCAAGGAGCTCCACCTGGGGTTCAAAGGCAGGCCAGTCCTTGCGCGGCCTGCAGGGGAAGGGAGGAAGGAGGTAGGGAAAGATGCACCAGGGGGGATCAGCAGCAGTGTTACCAGCAGCGGATGTACCAGGGGCGGTCTGAAGGAGCTCCACCTGCGGTTCAAAGGCAGGCCAGTCCTTGCAAGGCCTGCCCGGGATCTGAGAAGCTCGGGAGAAAACAAAAGAAACTGCAAGGAGCTAAAGAAGTGCTTTTGAGTTACGCTGAAAGAGAGGCGCATGCAGGCCAATGCTGCGAGGCTTGCAGTTGTGGGAAGAGACGGCCAGCAGCTTCATCTCCCCACTCGAGCTATCCCGCCCATAACCCTACCTGCCCATCGTCCTCCGGTGGATTCTCCAACCCTGCCTTGCCCAGCCAGACTCCGCCCTCACCTTCTAGGCCAGAGCTGTGGTGCCCACTGGTGCAGGTGGGAGGCAGCTACTGTCAATCAAGGGCGAGAGGGGCCAGCATGACCTGTGCCCTGCGTCTAGCTTTTGAGGCGCCTCAAAAGTCGAGAGGGGCCAGCATGACCTGTGCCCTGCGTCTAGCTTTCGAGGCGCCTCAAAAGTCGAGAGGGGCCAGCATGACCTGTACCCTGCATCTAGCTTTTGAGGCGCCTCAAAAGTCGAGAGGGGCCAGCATGACCTGTGCCCTGCGTCTAGCTTTTGAGGCGCCTCAAAAGTCGAGAGGGGCCAGCATGACCTGTACCCTGCATCTAGCTTTTGAGGCGCCTCAAAAGTCGAGAGGGGCCAGCATGACCTGTGCCCTGCGTCTAGCTTTTGAGGCGCCTCAAAAGTCGAGAGGGGCCAGCATGACCTGTGCCCTGCGTCTAGCTTTCGAGGCGCCTCAAAAGTCGAGAGGGGCCAGCATGACCTGTGCCCTGCGTCTAGCTTTTGAGGCGCCTCAAAAGTCGAGAGGGGCCAGCATGACCTGTGCCCTGCATCTAGCTTTTGAGGCGCCTCAAAAGTCGAGAGGGGCCAGCATGACCTGTGCCCTGCGTCTAGCTTTTGAGGCGCCTCAAAAGTCGAGAGGGGCCAGCATGACCTGTGCCCTGCGTCTAGCTTTTGAGGCGCCTCAAAAGTCGAGAGGGGCCAGCATGACCTGTGCCCTGCGTCTAGCTTTTGAGGCGCCTCAAAAGTCGAGAGGGGCCAGCATGACCTGTGCCCTGCGTCTAGCTTTTGAGGCGCCTCAAAAGTCGAGAGGGGCCAGCATGACCTGTGCCCTGCGTCTAGCTTTCGAGGCGCCTCAAAAGTCGAGAGGGGTCAGCATGACCTGTGCCCTGCGTCTAGCTTTTGAGGCGCCTCAAAAGTCGAGAGGGGCCAGCATGACCTGTGCCCTGCGTCTAGCTTTCGAGGCGCCTCAAAAGTCGAGAGGGGCCAGCATGACCTGTGCCCTGCGTCTAGCTTTTGAGGCGCCTCAAAAGTCGAGAGGGGCCAGCATGACCTGTGCCCTGCGTCTAGCTTTTGAGGCGCCTCAAAAGTCGAGAGGGGCCAGCATGGCCTGTGCCCTGCGTCTAGCTTTTGAGGCGCCTCAAAAGTCGAGAGGGGCCAGCATGACCTGTGCCCTGCGTCTAGCTTTCGAGGCGCCTCAAAAGTCGAGAGGGGCCAGCATGACCTGTGCCCTGCGTCTAGCTTTTGAGGCGCCTCAAAAGTCGAGAGGGGCCAGCATGACCTGTGCCCTGCGTCTAGCTTTCGAGGCGCCTCAAAAGTCGAGAGGGGCCAGCATGACCTGTGCCCTGCGTCTAGCTTTTGAGGCGCCTCAAAAGTCGAGAGGGGCCAGCATGACCTGTGCCCTGCGTCTAGCTTTTGAGGCGCCTCAAAAGTCGAGAGGGGCCAGCATGACCTGTGCCCTGCGTCTAGCTTTTGAGGCGCCTCAAAAGTCGAGAGGGGCCAGCATGACCTGTGCCCTGCGTCTAGCTTTTGAGGCGCCTCAAAAGTCGAGAGGGGCCAGCATGACCTGTGCCCTGCGTCTAGCTTTTGAGGCGCCTCAAAAGTCGAGAGGGGCCAGCATGACCTGTGCCCTGCGTCTAGCTTTTGAGGCGCCTCAAAAGTCGAGAGGGGCCAGCATGACCTGTGCCCTGCGTCTAGTGTGCATTCACCACCCACCTTCTCACGCTGATGCGCCCGTCTGCTCTCCGCATGAAGGCTAGCGTCGTGGTGCCCACGGGTGGGGTGGGAGCGGCAGCTGCTGCTGTGGCCTTTAGGCTGGAAGGGGGTGAGAGGGAGGGAGAGCGTGGCAAGGAGAAAGGCAGAAACGAACTTGAAGGCCAGAGCGGTGGTACCCACTGGTGGGCCGGGAGGGACCGCTGCTGCTGTGGTCTTTGGGCTGAAGGAGAGGGGTAAGAGGGGGATGTGTGTGTGACAAGGAGAGGAAGAGGAGAAAGGCAGAAACGAACTTGAAGGCCAGAGCGGTGGTACCCACTGGTGGGCCGGGAGGGACCGCTGCTGCTGTGGTCTTTGGGCTGAAGGAGAGGGGTAAGAGGGGGATGTGTGTGTGACAAGGAGAGGAAGAGGAGAAAGGCAGAAACGAACTTGAAGGCCAGAGCGGTGGTACCCACTGGTGGGCCGGGAGGGACCGCTGCTGCTGTGGTCTTTGGGCTGAAGGAGAGGGGTAAGAGGGGGATGTGTGTGTGATAAGGAGGAAGGCAGAAACGAGCATGTAGGCCAGAGCCGTGGTGCCAAATGGTGGGGAGGGAGGGGCTGAAGGGCAGAAGAGAAGAGTGAAGGGAGCGAAGAGCGGCGCGAAGGGGAGAGGAAGAGGGGAAACGACAGTCGAGCGTGAAGGCCAGAGAGCCATGGTGTAAAGTGGAGGGGCCTCGGAGGGAGGGTGTGTGTGACAAGGGGAGCAACGGGGAGGAAGAGGGGAAAGCTACGGTCGAGCATAAAGGCCAGAGCTGTTGGGAGAGGAAGGGGAACGGAGAGGAGAAGGCGAAACAGGCACACCATTTCTAGCTCTGCTCCTACCTCGCCTTTTCATCTCTCATTCCAGGCTTAAAGCCCGCGTCCCAAATTGCGGACCGCGAGGGTCAAGTTTTTAAAACTTGACGAAGTTGAGTGTCCAAGCTTTTGAAAGTCACGCACCTGCAATTTGGGACTTTCGAAGACAGATTCACTCACCAGGGGGAAAACCGAGGGTTGGCTGGGTCTCGCGAAAAAAACGAACCTAGACGAAATTGCGAACTCTCGCCAAAGCCTACACCAGAAAAACTCCCTCTGGTCAACTTTTAAAAGCATGAACAATTTGGGCCGCCGGCTTTAAGCACCCCACTCCCCACCCACCCACCCACCCCCGTGCTAATCCCTCTCGCCACTCCCACATTCACCCCCATCTCCCCTCCCCTTCCCCCACCCACTCACTCGGCATTCCCCCCGCCCCCCTCCCACTCACTCGGCATTCCCCCCGCCCCCCTCCCACTCACTCGGCATTCCCCCCGCCCCCCTCCCACTCACTCGGCATTCCCCCCGCGCTCCCTCCTTGGCCGCTTGGAGGAGCGCGTCTCCTTAGAAGCGAGCATCTGGCGGGCCAGCTGGTGGGGGGCAAGGGGGGGGAAGAGGGGAGAGAGACGCGAGGGTGGGTGGACGGGTGAAGCGTGGGTGACTTGAACTCGCTTGGAGGAGCGCGGAGAGCAGAGAGCGGAGAGCAGAGAGCGGAGAGCAGAGAGCAGAGAGCGGAGAGCAGAGAGCGGAGAGCAGAGAGCAGAGAGCGGAGAGCAGAGAGCGGAGAGCAGAGAGCAGAGAGCAGAGAGCAGAGAGCGGAGAGCAGAGAGCAGAGAGCAGAGAGCAGAGAGCGGAGAGCAGAGAGCAGAGAGCAGAGAGCGGAGAGCAGAGAGCGGAGAGCAGAGAGCAGAGAGCGGAGAGCAGAGAGCGGAGAGCAGAGAGCAGAGAGCAGAGAGCGGAGAGCAGAGAGCAGAGAGCAGAGAGCAGAGAGCGGAGAGCAGAGAGCAGAGAGCGGAGAGCAGAGAGCAGAGAGCAGAGAGCGGAAAGCAGAGAGCGGAGAGCAGAGAGCAGAGAGCGGAGAGCAGAGAGCGGAGAGCAGAGAGCAGAGAGCAGAGAGCGGAGAGCAGAGAGCAGAGAGCGGAGAGCAGAGAGCGGAGAGCAGAGAGCGGAGAGCAGAGAGCAGAGAGCAGAGAGCAGAGAGCGGAGAGCAGAGAGCAGAGAGCAGAGAGCAGAGAGCAGAGAGCAGAGAGCAGAGAGCGGAGAGCAGAGAGCGGAGAGCAGAGAGCGGAGAGCAGAGAGCGGAGAGCGGAGAGCAGAGAGCAGAGAGCAGAGAGCGGAGAGCAGAGAGCGGAGAGCAGAGAGCAGAGAGCGGAGAGCAGAGAGCAGGAAAGGAGGTAACAGTGGGAGAAGAGTAGAGGGAGGAGAGAGAGGAGGAGGGGTTGAGGATAAGAGTTGGGAGAAACGGGCAGAACTAGGGCAAGTATGATATGCGAGCTTCATTTCTCTGGCCAAGAATATCGATATAATAATGATGACCGAAATTGAGTGTGCATTCTTGGACAAGGAACCATAACTTAGAAATTGGATAAGCGGACAAATAAACGGACAAAATGAAAAACAGGAACACTCCGCCCACCTCTAGCAATTGCTCTCGCAGAGTCACTGCAACCCAGACCTGCAAGGGGGGCGGCGGGCAAGGGAGGAGTTGAGGAATGAGGGGATTAAGATGCTGCTGAGGATGCATTACCTGAGAGCGTGGCATTACCTGAGAGCGTGGCATTACCTGAGAGCGTGGCATTACCTGAGAGCGTGGAATTACCTGAAAGCGTGGAATTACCTGAGAGCGTGGCATTGCCTTTTGAGACGTCTCAAAAGCCATTACCTGAGAGCGGGGCATTACCTGAGAGCGTGGCATTGCCTTTTGAGACGTCTCAAAAGCCATTACCTGAGAGAGTGGCATTGCCTTTTAAGACGTCTCAAAAGCCATTACTTGAGAGCGTGTCATTGCCTTGCCAGCACATAACACAAGAGTACAGGAGTGCAGAGAGCGGGTGTGAGGCATTAGACTGCAGGCTACTTTCACAATGAACACAAGCGCAAGAGCACACTTTACGTCCACATGCAGTAAACAGATGCAGGCAGATGCAACACACACTAGTGCACTCAAAAGGGGCACAAGGCGTTGACATACTTGAGAGATCTCTTTTGAGGCACCTCAAAATACATACTTGAGAGATCTCTTTTGAGTTACCAATAGCCAAAAGCAAAGATACCTATAGGCATGAGCAAAGAGCTGAACCGCAGTTCGGTTCGGTAATTTGCTCATGCCTAGATACCCATAAGCCGTTGACATAATGGTATCTCCACGTAAGAAGTTCATCACCACAGACAGGCTGGGGCTTCAAGTAAAAAAATTGTTTGTCAGGTCAAATTTTCTCAGCAATTATGCTACCTGTGCTTGTGGGTCGGCATCGGTAATCCCAAGATCAGAGCAAAGGCCAGCAGCATAGGCCTCGGGATCCGCGTATGGGTTGTTCAAATCCTGCCAAGAGGTGAGGGTTGGGGTGGGAGCGGCGATAGCCGAAGGATGAGGATGGATTTAAACATGAAGTGTTTGTTGCTACAGTGAGAGATGATAACCAGACGAATGAAATTGCAACCATCAACAAAAGTGACGTGGAGGGTATGTACGATGGAAACGACCTATTAAGTTGACTTTTGAGTCGACTCAAAAGTCAACTCGAAATGACTTGACCTATTAAGTTATTTCCATCGTGCACGAGTGCATGTACGGCCAAAGTTCAATGAGTTCCTCCCTCCATGAGCTATTTTTTCTGGCTACTCACAAGAATTGGCCATTCTTGGCAGGGCAGGGCAGTGGCTTACCCACAAGAATTGGTCTCGAATGATGCATGTGGCTGTACACACATCCAGCTGTGCAGCAGGGAAGAGGACACGTGTGCAGGGGTGGAAAGGGGGTGAGTGAGGTGGGGAAACCAACACTATAGAGAGGTGGAAAGCGGCGGGGTATCAAAGGAACGACCTCGCATGATGATGCATGTGACTGTGCTGTGCACACATCCACCTGTGTGGAAGGGAAGTGGACACATGCAGGGATGGATGGATAGTAAGAAAATAATTATCAAAAGGTGAGGGCGCGAGTGATAACAAGTTTTGTAGAGCTCTGGCAATAACAAGTTTTGAGAGTAGTCTATATTGCCCTTGAACTACTCTGGAAGCGATTGCACACTTCACCATTCCCACCTTCAGGCGGTGCTTGTTTCCCTTCATTATAAGCCGGTGCTATAAGCACACAATACAATGCTATTATCAAAGCTCTCATTTTAAAAACACAATCAGCCTCTTCTTCCTTTTGCCAAGCATACGTTCGCTCTTTATCAAGGGCTTCCACTCCCAGCACAGTAGCCAGCCAATCAGGTCTTCAGATGCACATCCTAACCCACACATAAGCACAACTTGCATACGTTCTAAGCAGGACACCATACACTCAATATAAGCGCAACGCACCCTCACCAGATGCACGTTCTCCTCTCTGCCTGCCAGCACTCTGCTAGGTCCTGAGCGTGAAGGAAAGTCAAGTATGTGCCTTGTATCAATCTCACTATAAGCACACTCGCTACAGGGACTCACTCTCTCTCACCTTCACCAGGTGCAAGTTCTCCTCACTGGCTCCAAGCACTGCTGCCAGGTCCTGCGCATGCAGCGATCGAAATTCGGCTACCTGGGCCTGCGTGTGTGGGCAATGGGATGGGATGGGGATTGTGGGAGCGGTGAGGCAAGCAGTGCTGTGGCCTCCCTCCTCGCTCCCACAGCACTGCTGCCAGGTCCTGCGCACGCAGCGATCAAAATTCGGCTACCTGGGCCTGCACGGTGAGTGGGATAGGGAGTGCGGGAGTTAGAAGGGGAGGGGAAGGCGGGGAAGGGAAAGGAGGGGCAGGGGAAATCCGGGGGGTGGGGAAGGGGGGAGAAGGGAAGTGGGGAGAGGGGGGATGAGGGTAGGCGTGAGCTGGGGCGAGAGGGGAGGGAAAAGAGAGGTGCTTGGGCTAGTGTCCGGGATTCAGCCAGCTAGGCTCCACATGCATGTGTGGAGGGGATGGGGGGGGGGTGTGGGAGTTGCGGGTAGGGAGGGAGTGAGGAGGTGGGGGGTGAGTGAAGGCGAACAAGTGATGTGAGGTGCAAGGACCACCTTTGAGTCGACTCAAAAGTCACCTCGTTTCAATGGCACACGACACTTTTTGAGTCGACTCAAAAGTCACCTCGTTTCAATGGCACACGGCACTTTTTGAGTCGACTCAAAAGTCACCTCGTTTCAATGGCACACGACACTTTTTGAGTCGACTCAAAAGTCACCTTGTTTCAATGGCACACGACACTTTTTGAGTCGACTCAAAAGTCACCTCGTTTCAATGGCACACGACACTTTTTGAGTCGACTCAAAAGTGATGTGAGGTGCAAGGACCACTCCCCCCTCCCATCTCTCATCTCTTCCCCCATTCCTCGTCTCCCTCAACTCTGTCCCCCACCCTCCTCCCTCCTCCTCCCCCTCTGCTCCCTATTTCCTTCCATCCCCCAATCCGCACACCTGAATGGCCTGTGTGATGTGCGGCAGGAAGTAGGGAGGAAGCTTCGTGTCCCTCACGAGTCCCTCTGCAAAGGCCGCTATCTCCCCATCCGGCTCTGCAGCAGGGGGAATGGATGGGACGGGGGGGGAGGGGATAGGATGGGGGGAGGGGATAGGATGGGGGGAGGGGATAGGATGGGGGGAGGGGATAGGATGGGGGGAGGGGATAGGATGGGGGGAGGGGATAGGATGGGGGGAGGGGAGGTCAAGGGAGGGGAATAAGGCTAAGGCCCTCACCATCCCCTCTGCAAAGGTTGCTATCTCCCCATCCGGCTCTGCAGCAAGGGGAATGGATGGGATGGGGAGGGAGAGGATGGGAGGAGGGCAAGAGGAGGGCAAGAGGAGGGTAAGAGGAGGGCAAGAGGAGGGCAAGAGGAGGGCAATGGAACGCGGAGGTCAAGGAAGGGAGGGGGAGCAAGGGGAGGTGGGGGGATATCAAGGGGAGGGAGGGAGGGGAAGGAACGAGGAGAAAGGACAGGAGGAAGAAACGGTGAGGGAGGAGGGGAGGGACGGGAAGTGATGGAGAAAGAGGGGAGGAAACGGACGATGCAAGGCAGGTGTACACGGCAGGTGTGCAAGAGGTGACTTTTGAGTCGAGGTGACTTTTGAGTCGAGGTGACTTTTGAGTCGAGGTGACTTTTGAGTCGAGGTGACTTTTGAGTCGACTCAAAAGAAATGGACGATGCAAGACAGGTGTGCAAGAGGACAGGCTTTCGTGGGGTGGGGGTTGGGGTGAGGGGGTGGGGTGAGAGGGTGCGGTGAGGGGGAAGAATGAAGAGTCGGGAAAAGTGAGCGGATGAAAAAGAATGGCATAAGGTCACCACAAGCGAGCGCCAGTCGCGTTACCGTTGCTGTTCCAGCAGAAGGCGTCCTGCAGCCGTTCATCTCCGATCTCGAGGTCCAATCGGACGGGCACGAGTGGGTCATCCACTAGCCTGCAGGGAGGAACGGGGAGGAGCGGAGCAGAGAACAGAGCAGAGCAGGGGAGAGCAGAGAACAGAGCACGGCAGGGCAGAGCACAGAGCAGGGCAGGGCAGAGAGCGGAGCAGAGTAGAGCAGCGGTGAATGGTGTGTAGGGGCGAGTTTTGCAGCGTCGACGCGCCTCAAAAAGCGGACGACAGGGGTGGTGGCGCGGTAGAGACAAGGATAGTGCTTAAATACGCCAACACCCCATTAAGGATAGGATAGGGTGGTGGTGCTTTAACGCGCGACGTTAAATGAAGAATAATGCTCGAAATGTGATTTCTAAGTCGAAACCATGCTGCGTTGGAGGTAAAACGAGGTGACGACTAGGAAAGAGGGGAGGGGGGTAGCAAGCAAAGGCACGGAGGGGCCATGGAAACCTCGCCGACTCGCGTGGACCAAGGGGAGAGGCGAAAATCGACACGAGACCTAAATTGATTTAACTTCACACCCACCGCTCTATACCACTCTGTACCGCTGCTGCATTCCAATCCAGGCAGGACTGTTGCACGACTAATTACCGCATGACTAATACGTGGCTGTCGCAACTACAGCCACGCGATTCGAAGCTGTACGCGACGGCCCGTCACAGCTCTAACGCAATTTTCACTGCTTTTGAGAATCCTCGAAAATGATTCGTCGTTCGTTGCGCGCGGCCGTCACAGCTGTAACGCGATTTTCACGGCGAGACGCGTCGCTGTACGCTGGAATCCCTCTCGCGTTTTACTCTCTGCGCGAGGTGCGGCGCGGCCGCAACGAGCGGAGGGGGCGCGAAGAGCGGAGGGGGGTTGCACAGTGCTGACGCTATGCAGTCCCGAACGTTGGGCAGAGGCAATTAGGGCGATGGCGCTCTACAGTATAGAGAGGCCTAGCTTATCCACACGGGTTAAGGTTAAGGTTAGGGAAAATATGTCAATGGTAACTTACATGGGGCAGTATAACGCGTATGGTAACGATTTCAACGCGTTTGGTAACTCGCTTAAGGCGTTTGGTAAATCGCTTAACACGTTTGGTAACTCGCTTAACGCGTATGGTAACTTAACACAGGCGAGTGATCACGCGAATGGTAACTACATGAAACTCCCGCCGAAATGATCCTGACATTGAAGAATTTATCGAGCTTGTTGGAATAACCGAAAGGTTATATAAAGCATTCCCGAAGCTGTTCCACTGTACCAGTACCGCAATAGCTCATATAGAGCATGCGGAATGTCGAGGGTCACCCGAAGGTCAACCGTCTGAGGAAGTCAACGGTCGTGACCCTTGACGATCCAGTAACCGCGCGACAGTTAATTCACTGCAACATGGTAACTGTCGAGGATAGCAATAGTCACGGTTACTGTAGCTATGCAATACAGTTAATAAGGGAATGTACCCCTCAGAGTACATGGCTAGCTAGATTTCTATTTAATCTCTTGTACTCCTCCTATCTTTCAATCATCTTGTTCTCTTTCAATCATTATTCAACAAGGTCACTACAGAGACTTCATTGTCTCCTCTCAGACTTAACAGATTCTATCCTATCTACTGGATCCTTGGTTATATCAGCATGGTATGAGAGCTAGAGTGGATTATAGGATCTGTCAAGTCCTCGTTCTTCTCAGAACAATCCCTTTATAAAGTTATTTATTACACCTCAAAGTCTGCAATACTATGGCTCCTGAAGGAAAAGCTACTGCAGACTCACCGGGCCCACCACCAGCAACGACTAACGCGCCATCAGCGGTGACCTCCGTCAGCGCCGCTGTCGTTGAGGAGCTAGTCGCACGCATCAACGCCCTTGAAAGCCATCAAGCAATGAGCGTTGACGGCTCAAGCTATGCACGTGGCGTTGCTGGACTTCCTCTCCCTAGAGAAGACCGCCGCGTCAACTCCGAGAGATCCTTCACCTTCGACAATCGTCAAGGGTCAGCTCCTGCACAAGACAACCCACAGCGCTCACAGTCAGACATTGCTTCAATGCAAACCAAATTTGTATTGACTTCAAAATTGAAGACCTCAATTCCTTTCGACGGAAAGGATTTCTACACGTGGAGTTTCAAATTCGAGCTTCTCGCGACAACCGCTCAAATCTGGATGTACTACGACGGAAGCCTACCTTTTCCCTCGGAAGGTACCATCCAGGAGAAGCATCAATACTACCACGAATCCCTCCTCGCGTACACCACTCTCCTTCGCAATCTCTCACCTGAAGAGCAGCTCGGCATTCGCCCTTATAAGACGGAGTGGGCTCCCGCGCAAGCCTTCTGGGAACACCTGCGCAACTCATACATGGCAACAGATCCAGTTACGATGAGCCGTCTACTCAGCCAACTGACTTCGGTTAAAATGAAGCAAGGGGAGAAAGCGGGACCGTATGTCAACCGGTGCCGCAATCTGCGTGACCAAGTCAAGAAATGCGGTGGGACTGTCCCCGACGACATGTTCATCTCGATGGTCATCTCTGGCCTCGGCCCCGACTGGCGACAATGCCAGTCACTCCTTCGCGCCCGAGCAACCATATCAGAGTCAGCTCTGTGCGCCACGCTTCTTTCGGAGCAGAAGGAAATCGACCTGTACAACGAGAAGAATGTTAAACGGGAGAAATTAGTCTTCTACACAGGAGCGTCACAAGGGGAACAATGCGGAAAGAAGGGAGCTTTCTGCAAATACTGCAAGAAGTCTGGCCACTCTATCGACCAGTGCTACAAGCGTCAGGCCGCTGACGAGCGGCGCAACGCCTCCAACCAACAACCATCGACGCAGACAAAGCCCTCCGCCACTGTGTCGCCTCCTTCCGTCGCCAGCACTTCACAATCCCCTGCACTCATCACGGCGAAGGACAAAGGAAAAGGGACAATCATAAGCTGCATGGCTCGACGCAACATAGGGTCCCGTTACTGGGATCGAGTAACATTCACTCACGACAATCCCATCAACAAGATGGTCACACACTCTCTCCACCTCAGCCGGTAAAGCTCCAGCTATGAGGATATCATCCACATACAGTAGCAAGTACACCTTCTTCTCTCCTTCTCCCCTCCAATAGAACGCTCGGTCACACTCACTTTTCTGGAACCCTCCTTTCAGCAACCTCTCATCCATCGCCTTATACCACTCCCTTGGACTCTGCTTCAGCCCGTACAACGCCTTGAACAGCTTACACTTCCTATCCGTGCCGTCTTCAAACCCGGTTGGTTGATCCATGTACAGCTCTTCTCGCACTACACCATGCAGAAACGCATTCTTGATGTCCAGCTGCACCAAGAAATAACCCCTTGCCGCTACCACCTTCAGGAATGCTCTTGCGGTTGTAAGCTTGCTCACGGGAGCATAGGTCTCGTTGTAGTCAACCCCCTCGACCTGAGTATACCCTTTTGCCACTAACCTTGCCTTAAACCGCTCCAGCTGCCCCATATCCCCTGTCTTGATCTTAAAAATCCACTTCACACCCACTGCTGCCCTTCCTTCCGGCATAGGCACTAACTCCCAAGTGCCTCTCTCTGCTAGAGTGTCCAGGTCCTCTTGAATTGCAGCCATCCACTGCTCCCTCTGTGGTCCTGCCAAGGCTTCTTCAACAGTCACGGGTTCCTTAGGCAGGCTATACTTCTCCAAACTCCCCTGTGACACTAGCGCCGTTGCAGTTGCAGCCAGGAGCAGATGGGTCCTCACATCCTTCCAAGGTGTCATAACCAGTGCAACAAACTTAGCTGGTTTCTTCTTGATCCTCAGACCGCGCCCCAACTCCTCAGCCGGTGTCTCGTCCTTACTAACTTCCTTTGTCGCTGCATATATCTCGTTAAGCCCTCGTTCCTTTCCTATCACCATGGCTCCATCCTCCAGCAGCTCATTTAACTCTTTAGCAGCTTCACAAGTAGCGTCACTACCGATCAGTCTCCATGGGTTACCCTCGCCCTCCTGTGCTGTCCCATCACTGCTTTCCACGCGTTCCACATCCTGATTTTCCTCCTCTGTGCCCGTCTCTCTTTGCTCTCCTTCGTGGTGCCCTTTGTCCTCCACATCTGCTGCCGCCTCTACAACCTTTTTCTTCTGCGGCTCCGGCCAAATAGGTTCCTTGGTAGGTTTGTCCGCACCACCTCCTGACTCCTCCTCATCACACCCTATCCCCTCGTTCTCCTTCTCCACTAGCAGCTTCTCCACCTTATCAAGCGCAGCTGCTGCTCCCGTTGCTATCTCCTTGTTCACTCCCTTCCACTGCAGGTAATTAACATCCTCATAGAAGATGACATCCCTGGTCACCACTACCTTGCCCGTCTCCACGTCCTTAATCACCCAGCCCTTGCTCACCTTGCCCATCCCAAGGTTAATCCCCCACTTGCTCCTTGGTAGGAGCTTGTGGTCCGGTCCAACCGGCTCCCTATACTGAGCCATGCAGCCCCACACCCTTGCAAACCCCATGTTCGGCTTCCTCCCATAAAAGGCCTCATGCGGGGTCATATCTGCTGCAAGGCCTTTGGTAGGCAACCTGTTCTTCACCCAGCATGCCATCCCCAAGGCATCTCCCCAATACTTCAGTGGAAGACCGCTATCAGCTAGCATGGTCCTCACACTATCCAAGAGTGACCTGTTCACCCTCTCTGCAATGCTGTTGTGCTATGGGGTGTACGGTACCGTCAGCTGCCTTAGTATCCCCTTCGTGCGCAAAAAACTGTTGAACTCCGCATTCACAAACTCCCCACCGTTGTCGGTTCTTAACACCTTCAGCTGCTTCCCACTTTGCCTTTCAGCTTCAGCCATCCAGTCCAAGAAACTGGAAAACACCTCTGTCTTGTCCTTGATTTCTGTCACCCACGTGTGCCTAGTCCCTAGGTCAGTGAAAGTGACGAATTACCGGCTCCCGTGCCTTGAAGTTTCCCTCAATGGCCCACACACATCAGCTGCCACTATCTCCATTGCACCGTAGGGCTCTTGAACCTGGTGTATGGGATGGGGGGTTTTTGAGATCTTGCTTTCCACACACTTGCCGCACCTCCCCTTACTCCCATCTCCTTCCTTCAGCTCCACACCGGCTGCCATGCCCTTCTTCACTAGCTCCTTAATCCGCTCCATCCCCGCATGTCCTAGCCGCCTATGCAGGGTCTCTAGATCCACTTTTGCAGCTGCTGCCACCATTGCAACAGCTCCCACCTGCAACTCCTCTACTGTCACTCCTTTCAGCTTCGCCTTCAACTCCTCCCTCGCCATCACTCCTTCCTTCGGTGGTGGCTGGTAAGTAGCCTTCTCTGCTGCCAAGGCCTTCTCATTCAGCTTCATCTCATACAATCCATCATTCCTCATCCCCTCAGCGATCACATTCCATGCATGGTCAAACACCCACATCTTTCCTTTGTCACTGAAAGTCTTGCACCCGGTGCTGTCCAACTGCGATTGACTGATCAGGTTCAAGGCCAATCCATCCACATACAGCACATTCTCCAACTTCAATTCCCCATACTGCCCTTGCAAAATCAACTCCCCTTCGCCCTTCACAGTCAATTTCCCTTCATCCCCCAAAATCACATACGGCACACTTGATTCCCTCATTCCAGTCAACCACTCACAATGATTCGTCATATGCTGAGTGCACCCACTGTCCATGAACCACGCACCAGCTCCACCTCCTTTTGCCAGCATGCACACCCCTGATGCGCGCGCCACATTCGCCTTATGTGCGCCACCCAGAATGGCATCTTCCTTGTCATTCTCTGCTGCTGTTGGTGCTGCTGCTGCATTTGCTTTCGGAGGTGCTGATCCCTGTTGCTGCAGTCCCCTATAGCTCCGGCTGTTGGGGTTGGAGTAGCAGTCAATCGCCCTATGCCCAATCTTCTTGCAATGATGACACGCTCCGTTGAACTTCCCTTTCGGTCCCCTTCCATTTCCTGCACCATTCTGATGCGCTCCACTCCATCCCGCACCGTTCCCCTTGTAGTTTCTGCTTCTCGGGTTCTCCGCGCACTCAAACGCTTTGTGTCCCATCTTTCCACACTGGTAGCAAGCTCCCACGCTCCTTCCAGCGGCTGCCGCGTTCACCAACGCAGGTTTCTCCTGTTCCACGCCCTTGGTGAACTTCTCCCTTCGCTTTTGATGATCCCGTGCTCGCTCCAACGCCTGAAGCATGGCAATAAGTTTTGTCATATTTTCTGGTGGGTGGCAGATCAACGCCGGCCGCTCACCCGACCAATCTTCAGGTAGCCCGTTGACGATGTGCCCTATCATCGCCCTTTCAGTTTCCGGCTCGCCCATCGCAGTCAAGTCATCATTGTAGCTCCTCGCCATGTTGACGTAGTCAATAATCTTCTGGTTCGGCTCCATGGTCATCAGCAGCAACTTCTTCCTCACATCGGCGATATTCGCGTCCATGTGCCCGAGGCATGTAGACTCCATGTACGCCCATGCCGCTTGTGCAGAGTTCTCAAGCTCTGCAAAACCATCAAGACCCACTGCAATTCCGTCTGCAACAGAGTGACACAACTGGAAAAACGCTAGCTTACTCCGTTTCTTGAATTCCATTTTTTCCTCTTCCGATTTCGCCGCACGCTCGGCTTCGTCGCCTTTCTCGTCCGGTCGGTAATACTCCCACAAGCCGACCTCCTTCGCCCTCCTTATGAATTTCAGTCGCCACGTGCTGTAGTGCTCGCCGTGGAACCGCTGGGCTTCGCTCAGCCCCATGGTGGGCTTGGTCACCACCCCTCCTTGCGCCAGCATTTCCAGAAGTGCCTTCACTTGGGGATCTCCAATACTCACAGAGGAGCCCGAACTAGCTTCCGATTGTCCGCCGACCATCTCGAAAGCTTCGCTCTGCACTTAAGAATGCTTAAACGCCACTTAAACCAGCTCTGATACCAGTTCTCAGGATCGTAAACACCTTAGTCGGCAATAGTCTACTTGCTATCGCCTATCGTGTTCTCCACGATCTCACGAATCCAATGATATGCGCAGCTCTGCTTGAAGTTGTCAATACACACTTCAGCAATTTTCAGAATCTCCAACTGATCAATGTTGTGTTTCCAGAATGAGTACAAACAGGTTTATAGTCAAGCAAGACACAAAATGCGATTCGTAACTTCACTTTTTCCCAAGTAACCGCGTGCGCCTCGTTTCACCCCTAGTCGCACACGCAACCGAACCGAATTCGGTGAACACTCCTCAAGTCCGAATCTGGAACCTTCTCGAACGCGCCTTGGTCTCAAACCACATTTTCCCCTCGTCAACTTCAATCTCGATGCTTCTTCCACCTTCTCACACATTCCTTCTCGATTTCTCTCTCCCTTCTCACGTCGTAGGCCGATTTCCACCGCTTCTCTCTAGAATAGTCCACACGCTTCCGTCGCCTTCATTCTGCCGTCTCGACCGTATTATGTGCGCCGTCATTAGTGTGGTTCCGCGAACCACTCCAACACTGAGTCACTCAGAATGGCCCACCTTTTACCCGTCCTTCCCCACCCCCTTCCGTCCTGTCCTTCTATTATTACCAGTGCGGAGCAGAGAAGGGCGGCCGTCCATATTCAATCTATTACTTCTTCACGCCTCTCCTCACCCGCGTGGAGTGTGGGATTCCATTCAAGCTCTCCTCGCCAGACAAAACATGTATGCTTGTCCGTCTTCCCTGAGTCCTGTAGCATTTCAAAGAAGCTCTCTTCACAAGGGCGCAGTTTGGGCACGAGAAGGAACATTCAATCATTGCTACGTTCTGTGATTGAAAATATAAGGTACCGCATGTCTTGTTTTTTACTGTCCTTCCATTTTGTACCAAATGTACCTTCTGAGGCGTTTGAAGTGATTGTACATTCTAGTTTCATGGAACCTCGCACGGTGTTGATTTTGCCTGATCTCGCGCGCTGTTCAATTCTCTCCCTTCTTATAAACCAAATGTGTAGTGCCGGACGACCCTGCAAACGGCATCATTGTGGTGACGCATCCTGAAGTGAAGGCAGCAGCCATGTGGCACATTGGGTCGTACGAGAAATTGGGGGACGCGTACAGGCTCTTTATTAATGGATTCGCTCACAGGGGAAGTATCCAGGTAGTCTCTTGTTTGAGGAGTACTACACCAATACAACAGACGAGAAGGACCCTGCTAAATATAGGACTCGTGTATACATGTCTTTGTCTGATGGCTTTCTGGAGAGCATGTCATCTTGTACCATAACATAGCTTTACATGCATAGTATCATTGAAAAGCTTGTAAGCAATGTGTGTTGTTAACCAATGCACCATTTTGGAGATCTCTGTAACTAACAAAGCTCATGCACATCACTGAGCCCTGACTGTCCAGTTTCAGTCAGAATCCAGCCCGTAGCCCTGAGCAGCTTGCAATGCCTGCACCTCCCTCTCCTTCATCAGCATCAGGTGACTCAGCTCATACAATTCTGCATCCAATGATGTCTTCTCCTGCTCCAGTGCCCAGAACCGGCCCATCCAAGCCTCCTTCTCACGCTGCACCACCCCCACCTGTTGCTGCACCTCCACCAATAGGCCCTCCAATCGCTTTACCTGCAGCTGTTTCGCCTGAGCATCTTCCTCCACGGCCTTGAGCCTCCCGTCCTTCCATGACAGCTCCTTCTCCAGCGCTGCAACCTTCGCTTCTGCCTGCCTCAGTCCGCCTTTTATTTCCTCCACCTCCCTCCCCTTCGCCTCCAGGTGAACTTCCATGCCTTGCCTGCTCTCCATTGCCTTGGTCATCAACTCATTCAGTGTCTTAGTGTCAGCAGTCAGTTTTGCAATTTGCTTCTCCTTCACCATCACCTCTTGCTCTTCGGCCTGCAATTGTTGTCTCAAGGCGTGGATCTCAGCATCCCGCATATTCGCAGCTCCCTCCATCTCTTCAATCTTCGACTGCATCTCCTGAATCATCTCTTTCAACTCTGATACCCACTTCCCCAATTCTTCAGCCTTATTTCTAGATTCTGCCAGCTCCACACCGACTTTCTCCTTCTCTTCTTGGACCTCTGAGATCACTGCTCCTAACACCTTCTCTATCTCTTTCACAGCCTCATCCTTCTGTCTCTCCATCTCCACAAACCGTGACTGCAAATCTTCTATCACCTCTTCGCTTTTCCTCTCCCTTTCCTCGCCAGCAGTCTTCAAGCCAGTCAGGTCCACAATCTCTGCTTGCAATCGGCCTACCTCATCATTTAGCTCGTTTCTCTCCATCAATAAAAGGTTATTTTCAGCCTCAACCGCCATCAGCGCTTCTTTCGTCTGGCTGACCTTGTCAGTATGATCTGCCAGCTCGCCTTCCACAGACTTCAGCTGCAAAGCTTGAGCTTCAAAGGAAGCCTTGGCGGACTTGAGCTGACCTTTCAGCGCCGAAATTTCTCTGAGCTGATCCCCCATTAGCTTCTGAGCCTCATCTATCTGCAAATGACAACGAAACGGAGTTAAGGGAGCTGGAAGATTGCTGGGAGGAGAGAAGCCCTACATGAAATTGGTAAAACGCGAAGCAGTGGGGTCAACGATTGCTGCTGAAGATGTCTACTTATACCTGTGATGCCGGAACAAGCCCTTTAATTCGCCAGCCTCCTTCTGCATCACCTTCGGCTTGCATTTTCATAATCTGTTGATGCTGTTCCTGGAGCTTTCGCTCAGCCATGCCTAGCGCTACTTCTGCTTCTCTCGCTCCCTCCAACGCCTCATCCCTTTGCTGCTCCACGATTCTCATTCGCTGCTGCTCGCTGTTTAGAACGGAACGGAGCGATTCCAGCTCAGATGAGAGCATCTCTTTATGAGAATGAAGAGACGTAAGTTCAAGTCGTAGATTAGCAATGATTTCCGCGTCCTTAAAATCAGCCTGAAAGGTTCAAGAGAACACGTGAGACACTCAGAAATGATGAGACTGAAAGGGACGGATGCGCATCCCGAATGTCCGTTCACGCGTCAATGTGTAATTTACCTCGTGAAGGGTCTTGTTTGCTGTCGAGCTAACAGCAGACCGAGGCTCGGCTTGTGAGCAAGAAGCCTTTGTACCACCAGCAGGACTCTGACAACGGACATCTTCTGTTGCAACTTTTTTTTCAGCAGACGGCGTAGCTCTTTCGTCATCAAAATCTTCCAGCGGTATCTCCGAAGTGCCCGGTTTTCCTCCCTCCAGAACAAATACTTTTTGCTTTAAGATTTTATTCCTCGACCGTTCTTCCTCAACGCGATGCCGTAGTGTACGTATCGTCTGGTCCTTCGACAGCTTCAGCCTGTTGGTCTCTGCTAGAAGCTTCGCAACTTCCTTCTTCCATTCCTCGTCTCTCTTAACGAGTAAATCAGCGACCTCTGTCGATAATCCAGCTTTCCTTTCCCCTTCAACGGATGCGTCGTCCTTGCTCGTATCTAGAATGTTTGAAATTGGTGTCACTGGTTCAGGAGCAAATTCTGCCGGAAAGTTGTCACAAACTGAATCTGTCGAATCTCTAGTCTCGTCGCTTCCTGTGTTCCTGGCGCTGCAAGGCACAGACGAGTACGTCCAACCACCGATCCACGGAGCACCTCCAGTCTCCTTGCGTACCGTAACGTGACAGAGGATGTCACCACCTTGTCTTCCCATTGTTTCCATGCTTACGGTGGACTATAGGAATGGTTGAAGGACGCTGATAGGACGGACGTAACGTGGCTAGAAAGATTGACTATTTCGTCGTATCAACTACGAAGCCATCGGTTTGCTCGCTAACCACATGATGACGGATGTCACGGCTATGACAGGCAACGGAGTATCCAAAACTTCAAGCCCGCTCCGTCCGACACTATTGACGCTATCCTACTTGAAACTCGAATTATCAAAGCTGCGCAACTTCGCCTTGAAGTAACTGACGTAGTTCGCTCACCACTCCTCAGGAAACATTGGTCCCTGTCATAAACTCTACCTAGACAACTGTATCAGTGTCCTGGAATCTCAGCAAAGCAGTCATTTCCTCAAAGCATACTTCTTCTAGAGTTAGCTGGTGGACAGACATGGGGCATCAGGCAGGACGGATTGTTGGGGATCATGCTGAATCACAATGGAATCGACAGACTTGACGGCTGCATTACATCGCGAATGTGATTGGAAGAATACCGTGTCGGACAGTCAGGAATATGCGCTTGGCTGGAGACTCAAGGGGAAACAACAGACGGATGTAGGTAAGAGTGGAAAGTAGCAGGCAGTCCGACACTGTTGACCGTTTGACACGCTGATTGAAAGACAGCTCCACAAGATGTTTGAACGGCAAATTCGAGGGACAAGTTTGCCCGGACCGCCACATTATCCACAAACTGACTGACGTCCTGACAGAATTGGAATTCTGGCGGGAAAACCCTACAGACAAGCTAAGGGTGTATACAACACCGAAAACCACAGTTGCTCAATAAAGCTAAGCGTAAGATTGTAGCAGTTCCATTTTATTTTACATCTTAAATGGTGAAGAGCCACTCCGTATTATTTTGTTTCTACACATTGGCTGACACAGCCAACCTAAAAAAAAAAAAATGAAAAAAGAAACACAAACCTACGAATCAATCCGTGCTTTTTTTTGCGATTGCTCGTCGTCCACATCCTCAAACACGAATTTCTCTTCTTGAAAGTGCTTCCTTACTAGGTCGAGTGCCCGTCGCCGATGTGATATTTCGTTCTTGGTCTCCTTCGGCATTTCCGCATAACTGCCACAGTGAAAAACAGGCAAGACATAGCGTGAATGAACAACGGTATGATTAAACCATAAACCAACAAAAGCACAACATAGAATAGGAAATGGATACCCCTTAGCAACCATAGAATAATCAACTTACGACAGAACTCACGTTTGCTCAAACCCATCAGGTTGAAACACAGGATCCCAGCCAAAATCCTTAGGGCCTCTTGCAGGGACTATCTTGCCCTGGTGGATGCAAGGGTAACGATATATGGGCTGGTGATTAAGTCAAAGGATTCAGATAAGATCTTTCATCTATGTGGGTGTGTGGGTGGAGATGCGTAGGTGAGTGCATGTGTATGTGTGTGCGTGTGTGTGGGGGAGGGAAAACGAAAGGGGGTGAGGGAAGAGGGGGAGCAGAAGGCGGTGTGGTGCGATAAACTTGCATTACTGACTCACCCCTGTTGCCTTTTGGCAACCACACTACAGAATGCAATTTGGTCCCTACCTGCAGCTTGCACCACTTCTCTACCCCATATCCTTCCTTACCTCTCTACACCATATGCCACACCTCCATCCTTACCTCTCTACACCGCATGCCACACCTCCATCCTTACCTCTCTACACCACATGCCACACCTCTATCCTTACCTCTGTCCTTCCAGCAAAGATCGAGGATTCATGCTGGGGACCCAGGCAGAGGGAGAAGATGCGGAGTGCGTAGGTGGACTTGGGTCTGGTTTTCCCTCTCTCTGTTCCTCATGATACACCTCACCCTCCATACCCTTCTACACCATATGCCATACCTTACATCCATATCTCTGTCCTTCTAGCAAATCTCAGGGGTTCATGCTAGGGGTCCACACTCGGTATGCCATAGCTCCAATCACACCCCTGTATACCGTATGTCATACTTCTGTCCTTCAGGCACCTTCAGGCAAAGCTTAGAGGTTCATGCTGGGGGCCCAGTTAGAGGGAGAAGATGCAGAGGGCATAGGCGGAGTTCTGTTCTGTGTGTGTGTTCCCTTTCTCCAGTCTCTGTGCTCAACGTATCCATCCACACCCCTCTATACCGCATGCCACACCTTCATCCATACCTCTGTTCTTCCAGCAAAGCTGAGGGGTTCATGCTGGGGGCCTAGGCAGAGGGAGAAGATGCAGAGAGCATAGGCGGACTTGTCCTCATATGCTGCCAGGAGGTTGTTCAGGCCTGGTGATAGGAGGGCGGGAGTGGGCAAAGAGAGCACACACAGGCCGGTTGTCTTGGTGCATTTTGAGTCGCTTTTGAGAATTCTCAAAAGTTATAGTCGAATCCAGTTACACCTCATGGGCGGGCGGACTTGTCCTCATATGCAGCCAGAAGATTGTTCAAGCCTGGTGAGAGGGCGATGGGAGCGTTCAAAGAGAGAGTACACACAGGTCGGCCCTCCTTGGCCGTGTGTGAGGGATAGAACCAACGAATGTGATTATTTACCGTGTCGTACTTTCTAAATTACATGACAGCAGAAAAGAAACGTTTAAAATTTGAGACAAAACGCGAACAAGTGAATGTTTGTGAGAAGAGTGACTGCAAGGGAAAAAAACAGACTGCATGTGAAAGCTACGAGTACACATCAAAACCACAATACCACGAGTGAGAAAATGAGGGCATGGGACTGGAGACATTACCCTCATGACCGGTCTTGTCCAGGAACCACTTTCTGCAGCCACACATGCAGTCCACCATGCAGTCCACACATGCAGTCCACCATGCAGTCCACACATGCAGTCCACCATGCAGTCCACCATGCAGTCCACCATGCAGTCCACCATGCAGTCCACCATGCAGTCCACCATGCAGTCCACCATGCAGTTCACCATGCAGTCCACCATGCAGTCCACCATGCAGCCCACCATGCAGTCCACCATGCAGTCCACCATGCAGTCCACCATGCAGTCCACCATGCAGTCCACCATGCAGTCCACCATGCAGTCCACACATGCAGTCCACCATGCAGTCCACCATGCAGTCCACCATGCAGTCCACCATGCAGTCCACCATGCAGTCCACCATGCAGTCCACACATGCAGTCCCCCATGAGGTCCGGCAGACAGTAAAGCATCCACTCAAGCATCCAGTCAACCATTCAATTAACCATCACGTCAAGCAGGCAGTCAACTCGCAACATCAGCACAAGACACATGCACCACACGCACAACACCATGACATCACCACAAACGCCTCGCACTTCAGCCCACACAGAAACATAATAAATCAGAGAAAAAAGGAGGCTGCGAAAAGCAGTCACAAGTGAAAGTAGATGCAGATAGCCAGAATGTGACAGCTGACTTTGATAATCAAAGTTGCTTTCAGACTAAACACAGAAGGGCGGAGGCAGGGGGAGAGCACTGCAGTGACTTGCAGACAAAGCGGCTTGCTTTCAGTCGACTCTGACTCACAAGCCAGCTAGTGTGTGCCTTACATGCATGCAGGTGGCTTGAGACATGGGCTTTCTTGGATGCACGGAATTAGCATGTGAGCTGACATATTTTGAGACATCCAAAATATGTCAGCTCACATGCTAATTCCGTGCACTTGAGAGCACATTTGAGCTGACACAAAAGACATCTTGGCAAATTAGCATGTGAGCTGACACAAAAGACATCTCGGCAAATTAGCATGTGAGCTGACACAAAAGACATGTCGGCAATAGTGTGACTCACATGTATGGGCCTGCAACAGTCGACACGAGCGAATCGACATGTAGACACGCGAGAGGCAAGTTGAGGAAGAGAGGGAAACAGGAAGAAGTGAGCGAATGAGAGAGGCAAGGAGGCCAAAATAAAAGTGGAAAGCGATCAAGGTGAGGAACAGGGAAAGTGGGAAACAAACAGGAAAGGTAGCAAACAACAAGTGGTCCCATGCAATCTGTGGAAGTTGAATGTCTCTTCCTCTCCCTCTTGTCAGAAGCCAACTCAAAGGGCTTCAAAGCTCCCTTCCTCTCCCCTTTCCTGCCTCCCCCTTTCCCCCACGTTTTCCCACCACATACTCTCTCACGCTCCATCTACCCTCTCCCCTTTCTCTTCAACCCTCTCCCCACTCCCCTCCCTCCCCCCTCTTCCCCCTCCCTTCTCCCCTTCCCCCTCTCCCCTCCCCCCTCCGCACTCTCCCCTCCCCTTTCTCCCACCCCCGTCGCCTTCCCACCTGGCAGGCCGTTGAGTGCATCGAAGCACAGGCACGTGTCCTCCACAAGCACTGGACCGTCCACCTGTCACAATCACATGAAACACCACACATGCACATTACAATTACGGGAAACACCGAACGAACACGCTACAATGACAGGAAACACCCACCACACACGCGGGTTACTACAACAACACGCGGAACAAAATGCACGCAAAAACGGGAAAGTGAATACGACCATATCAAATTTTTAGACTCCTCCAAACAAACGTTGAGCATCAAAAGGACCGAGCATGCAACTGGATGAGGAGGGAGAAGGCATCGGGAACGAGCAAGTTATATATTGAGAAGGAGAAGCAAATCGCGGAGAGGCCGAAGGGGGAGGCAACTACCTTAGCTGCAGCAAGCCTGGCCTTCTCCTTGGAGATGTCTTCCGGCTCACCCTGTAGCTCTGGTACTGCCATGGAGGAGGGGAGGGTGGAGAGAGCGCAAGAAGAGTGGGGAGTGAGCGTGAGATAGTGACCTTAGCAGCAGCGAGCCTGGCAATTTTCTTGGCGATGTCTTCCGGTTCGCCCTGCAGCTCTGGTACTGCCATAGAGGAGGGGAGGGTGGAGAGGGTGGAGTGAGTGTGAGCGGCGGAATGGGGGAGGAAGGAAGCTATCAGTCTGGAATTCTCAAGGTTTTCTGGCTCGCCCTGTAGCTCTGGTACTGCCATGGAGGGGAGGGTGGAGAGAAAGTGACGAGAGTTTGAAGAGAACGCGGAGCGAGTGTGGTGAAAGTGTGGAGAGAATATGGTGATAACGTGAAACGATTGTGTGTAGAACGTGAATATAAACTGAGGGTATGCAGGGGAAAGAAACGTAAATGGATTCGACAAAATTTGAGAGAGTCATTTCTGAGACGTCTCAAAGATCGCAAGGCTCTTTGAGGAGATACTGAGCAGCGAGCTGCACTGGCCTGTAGCTCTGCTAGGGAGCTTTTAGGCGCCTCAAAAAGAGAGCTGCACTGGCCTGTAGCTCTGCGAGGGAGCTACGCAGGAGAGGAAAAGCCGAGCAAGGGGCCACAGAAGCACTGCGGAAGCAATAACTCCTTCGTGCAGTGCTGCTGTGGACACGGAAAGTCTGGATCGCAAGAGAACCTATGAAGCAATGACCTATGAGTCGACTCAAAAAGCCGCTCGGACCTGGAAATTCTGGAATGTACAAGCTACGGGAAGCTGCTGCAGGGAGGCTCCTGCGATCACGCTAGGAGGAACTGATTTCGCAGAACAGTTGCCGAAGCCATTGCTACTACTCCTGTCGCAGAGGTAGTATTCCTGTCGCAGAGATATTATTCCTGTCGCAGAGGTACTAATTCCGTCGCAGGGCGACTCACAATCGATCTTCCGGCTTCGCAGGGCGACGGACGACCCGAAGATCGCCTTCACCTCCTCCAGTTTCTTTGCATTGCCCGTCACGAACGTTATCGGTCGAATCACTTTCGCAGCCGCCGCCATCGCCGCGTTACGATCGATCGCAAAGATAACGAAAAACAAACCCTCCCGGTCGCTCTCGATCCTACCACCTCAGATCAGGTGGAAGCACGCGCAACGGGATTCGGGAATTTGGCTTCGGAATTTAGAAAATGGCGTTGAAGGCTCAAAAACAGCAACACCCAGAGGCACAAAGATTACAGACACTGAGAAGGGTTTAAACGCGTTTATGTAGAGTGAACAAAACACTTGAAATCGCGATACTGTATATCGGAGTTGCTATGACGGATTTGCAGAAGCACCGTCATGTCACCCCAGCGATTGACACAAACCAGGGTGACACTCGCGAGGGGACTTTTCAGCACGAGCGGAAGCCTTACGATGATCGTAAGCTCTTGCGAAGTCTGGTTACTAGGATGTTTGCCAAGCGCAAGCCTGTTGAGCCTCGTCGCGGATTTTTGTGTGGTCGGGCATTGTTAGTGGACGTATCGCGTTTGCCGAGCCTTATCACACTCAAGGCCAGAGAGCGTGCCACGCAAGGGATTCTGGTTGATGCGCGGCGCTTGCCCCTTATGTCCGAAGTTTGCAGGCTGGTTTGGGAATGTTGATCCTTGGCGAAAAGGTTGCAGTTCGGCTAAGGACGCGTTGAAAGTAGACGATCGATCGTGGGTCACGATCGATGTGCGGATCTGTAACCCTATTTACTGTGCTGTAACCTTGCTGCATTGCGATTTTTTGCCAAAATTTGTGCACAGTGTGTGAATGCGACTGATCACTGATCGCGGGAGATCAGTGAGAAGCATCAAAGCGTCATTGATGTAAACGAACCGAGCCTACCTGGCGCGATTGATTCTGATGCCTGCGACTTTCTGAAATGTCGCAGAGCCAGGAATCGCTGTCGCCCAAATTGTCCACATTTGGCGAAATCTGTAAACATCACATCGCCAAGGTGGTTGCCCTGTTGGCTGCGAGTGTCGCAGGTGGGTATGGACGACGTATATTTTTTGGGTGCGAGTCGCATGCAGGGCAGTAATCTCGGCCCTGGAATATCCACCACAAAGCTCAGGTGCGATCGTTACAACGTATCGGTCTTCATGTTTCGCCGATCGATCTGCCCACTCGATTGTGGGGCTCGATTTTTGCTCGCGATCCCGCGATATTTGCACTTTCAACGCGTCCTAACGACGAGAAGCAGGTTGCTCTCACCCGCAGACCTCGCTGCTACGCCCTACTGCGTTGTCATACCTCGCAGCCAATCAGAGCCCAAATCGAGCCCCAACCAAAAGGCGCCCGAACCTAAACACGACAAGAAAGGTGCTTGTGTGAACCCCAGCTCAAGCAACACACAACACGAAGCTCTTCGTTGTGAGACGTGACTCGTGAGTCGTGTCGTGCCTAGTGACTAACTCCTTACCTTCTGGATTGCCGTCGTGAGTGCGTTTTGCCGTAGCATCGCTAGCAGCCAAAAAACTCTCGACTCAACTCAAATGCTCTGTGCTAGGTCCTTTTCCCAAAAGATAATCTCACGGATTGCTACTGAGCCGTTCAATCACCCGCTTCGCAATGATCAACGGTGCTGCGAATAGTGCGCCGAAGGGGGCCGAAGCGCTTCCTTCGACATATCACCCAGTGACTACCTCCTTAAATTCCCTGCCGCAGCTCACGCCTCAAGATAAGCTATTCTTAGCGGCGCGCTGCTTCGTCGTGGCGCTCGGTCTGCTCCTCGTAACTTTCCACTTTTTCAAGGACTCTGCCACGTTGCACTCGCCTATTGAGTGGTTCGATATGAGTGCATTCAATCATGCTAAGTTAGCGGCGGATTTCCGCCCTTTCAATGCTAATATTTCGGGGAGCGTTTACCAGGAAGGATTAGCGGCTGTATCCATACCTGCTGATTCCCCACCCGCTGTAGCCTTACCTGCTGAATCCGCCCCGCCGGATTTATCCTTACCTGCTGATTCCCCACCGGCTGTATCCATACCTGCTGAATCCCCGTCTGCTAAGCCCCCGCCGCCTGAAGGGGATAGCCCTCTCGTCGCTTTCGATCGCGCATTCGCCACTCTGGTCTCGTTCCAACAAAAAGGTCGTTTTTCGTTCGCCAATGTCGCGACGTTCAATGTCGACCCCTCAGTCACCAGCGCCTCCGTCGCCACGCGCTACAAGCTTCTCTCGCTGCCCGTTCCGCGTGTGCCCGAGAATCTGACGTGGCCCGATGTGTACCCTGTTTGGGTGAACGAATCTGACGCATTCTGCCCAAAAATTCCTGAACTGAACTATCCAGATTGGCTGACCAGCATCGACGCCATTGTCGCACATGTGCCCTGCGACGAGCCTAGCGATTCCTGGGCGAAGGATGTTCGCTGGCTACATAACCTTCTCACTATAACAAGCTTCGTCACAAGGGTACTGTATTCCAATCCCCCTCATCGATCTTGTAGCAGCCTCGCCGCCCGTGGGATGGTTACCAGTAGTGCTGCTATCCACGTGTCATTTATTCTCCCTCTCCCATCCCCCCTGTACCGTGGCAAATCGCCCGTGGTTACCAGTGACGCTACTGTCCTCGTGTCGTCTCATCCTTCCCCAATTGTAAATAAGGGTTGGCTGAAGTTCAACCAACCCTTCTCCCGGTTCCCCTGTTCCAGGTTCGCCGCCTGTGGTTACCAGTAGTGTTACCCTCCGCCTTATTCGTCCAATCCCCTTGTACAATCACTCTTGTAACAGGCTAATCGCACGTGGTTACCAGTGGTGTTACTCTCCGCATGCCGCCCGCCGCCCAACCTCTTCCACTGCTCGCGACTCGTGACGCGGGAGGGTGACACGTGGCTGTACAACCTGACGGCCAGTGACATGCTGATACGCATACAGCCCCTGGGATCATGCGCCATGGCTCAGCCTATCAACAGCAAGGTGGCAGGTAGGAGACAAGAGGTTCGTGGCAGAGTCATAAGTTATTGTATTTCTCTCTTGTGCCATTGTAACGAGTTGACTTTTGAGTCGAATCAAAAGTCACCAGAGTCATAAGCTGTCATTATGTTTCTCTCTTGCGCTTCATGCACAGTAGCGTACTTTTATCCGTTTATAATTGAACTCCTTCCTTCCACGTGCGTCCCTTTCTTCCCTCCCGCTAGCCAACCAACGGGTCGCGTATGCTACAGTGCTACACTCGTCGGATCGCTACGTGTGTGGCGCAATAGTACTGGGGCAAAGCATAAGGAGGACGGGCAGCACGCACGAGATGGTTGTGCTTGTATCGAAGGAGATTCAAGAGGAGAGCAGGCGAGGGCTCGAGGAGGCGGGGTGGACGGTGAAGGAGATTGAGAGGATTCGCAACCCCCACGCACTCAATGGGACTTATAACGAGTGGAATTACAGGTTTGTGTGCTTATATCGAGTTGAACTACAGGCCTGTGTACCGAACTACAAGTTTGTGTGCTTGTAGCGAGTGGAGCTAGAGGTATGTGTTCTTATAGCAAGTGGGGGTCAACTTGTGTTTGCTTGTTATTGGCAAAAATCAGTAGTTGGTCTTTTCTTGAAATATTTGTCTTGGTGAATCTTGTGCCTCTTTCACCCACCTATTTCCTTTTAAATCACGATTAGCTTTATTATTTTCATCTGACCTGACTAATGTTTTTTTTTGTGCCAGGTGCACAAAATTTCATTCAATCGATGATTCATTTTGCTTCTGTGGGTTGACATGACTTCTGCCACTGTCTTCTTTTTTACTTGTTGACTCATTCTGACATACGCTGACTTGTATTGACTTGTTGACTCTTCTTCCCCCCCGTCCCCCCCACCCTCTCGACCCCCTCACCCCCCACCCCAGCAAGCTGCGGCTGTGGCAATAGACGGAGTACACCAAGCTGCACTTCATTGACTATCGTTGACTCCATTGACCTCTCCTAAATCCCCTCCCTCCCTCCCCCACCTGTTCCCCTGCCCCATCAAGCTGCGGCTGTGGCAGCAGACGGAATACGCCAAGCTGCTCTTCATTGACTCTCGTTGACTCCATTGACCCCCTACGCCCCCCTCCCCCTCCCCCCCCTTCCCCCCCCCCCCAGCAAGCTGCGGCTGTGGCAGCAGACGGAGTACACCAAGCTGCTCTTTATTGACTCGGACCTGCTCCTCTTGAACAGCATTGACTTTCTCTTCTCCTACCCCGAGATCTCCGCTCGCGGAAACGACGGCACAGATTTCAACTCAGGCGTGATGGTCTTGGAGCCGTCGGATTGCATGTTTGACCTGCTGATGGCAAATCTAGAGCGAGTGCGGTCGGAGAATGGAGGTGACCAGGTGAGACCATGTTGTTATGTCATGTGATGCGACTCCCTATCACCCTCTTCAGCGGAAGGAACCCTTGTACTTCGAACTGTGAAGGTTCAAACTGTTTGTTTGTCTGTTTTTTTTTTTTTTTTTTGGTCGAGTGCCTGTTGTGAAGTTGAAAGGAGTGCGATCGGCTAACGACGGGGACCAGCCAGGTGAGACCAAGTTGTGATGCGACTCTCTAGCACCCCTTCGCAGTTTACATCACTCTTGCAGTCCAAGCAGCGAAGGTGTAAGTCATTCTGAGTTGATTGTGACTTCTCTTGGCCCTCAATTCCACTAATTTTATTTTCCACCAATTTCCCTCATACTCCCCCCTGCCCAGGGCTTCTTGAACAATGTCTTCACCTGGTGGCACCGCGTACCAGATTCCATAAACATCCTCAAACCCGTCTGGACCTCTGACCCCGTGAAGAAACAAGCTCTCGTCTACATGAAAAGCAGGTGGTTTTCGGAAGACCCTTCAGAAATCCACGCAATACACTACCTTGGTATGAAGCCATGGTGGTGTTATCGTGAGTTTGATTGCAACATTCTACTACCCTATTTTTTCGACTTCACTAATGAGGCGGCTCATAAGAGGTGGTGGAGTGCACACGATTCACTGCCAGAGCCACTGAAGCAGTTTTGCTTGATATCAAGTCAAGCAGAGGAGAAGCTGAAGAAACTGATCGAACAATCCAAACCGAAACCAGTGCCTTGATGACTTCATTTTGTAGGTTCAGATGATGATTTGGTTTTTTTGGTACTGTATATAAATACTTGTCCTCCCTAGGACAAAATAGGTGTACCTTCCCATCTGGACAAATGCAAGATGGTCCAATCAAGCTCTCACAAAATTGCGCATTGTTATTGAGGAAGACCCAAAGTGACCTCGAATTCTAGCAAATCAATGTTCGGAAGACCCGAAGTGGGCCACCTCGGGTCTTCCGAACCTCCACCCGAACCTCCACTTCGTGTCTGACACGAGGTAGGAATGGACCCTTTGTTACGAGTGCAATTGAGTGAACGAACGAGAATTGCACTATCGAAACAAGAGTACAATGAGCGAAGGTATGAGCGAAGAATATATAGCGAAACTACAGTGGTAACGGTAATGGACTGTGGTTGTCGCGCGACGGGCCTGGGACTGAGGTTGGGAAAAGTGTCGAAGCGGAGGCCCGGAGCGCGGGTTACCCGCCGAGCCGTGAGGTCGGGGTGCGACGTGCGAAGGTGGCGGGCGGATTGTCGATGCGAGGATTGTGAGTGGTAACGGTGCTGACTGTGGCGCTACAGTGATGTACGCGTTGAGCAGGGACGCGAAGTAAGGAAAAAGAGATTTTCTTTACACTACCCCCCCCCCTTAAGGAGGTCCTCCTTACGAAAGTGCGTGTACATCCCTGAAATTCCGGCTGCGCAGATATGCGGTGAGGACGGGGTGGTTTTCGATTCTTTCCAGGGGAACCCAATTGTCTTCGGTGGGTGTACGGTCCTTCCAGCGGAGTAAGAACTCGATCCTTCGGGCTCCTCGAGGGTCGCGAACTCTGTGACCCAGGATTTTCTCGGGGGTGATGATTGGTTCAGTCGGTGGTCTTGTCATGCTGGCTGAGCGATTGCGTGGCAGTTGGCTCGTGGACGGGACGTAAGGGCGAAGCAGGCTGACGTGGAACGAGGGGCTGACGTACCAGTCAGCAGGGAGGAGGAGGTGGGCGGTGACAGGTGTAAGCATGTGGCTTATGCGAAATGGCCCGCAGTATCGGGGGCGGAGTTTCGGGGTGATGGACAGTCGGAGATTTTGGGTGTCGAGCAAAACTAAGTCGTCGGGCTGGTAAGTGACAGGTCTGCGGTGGCGGTCGGCGTTGCGTTTAGCGATGATGTTAGCTTTTTTAATTGCGTCTGCTGCCCTGGTCCGTGCTGCTTGCAAAATTTCGGCGAACTGTTGCGCGCGTGGAACCGGGTTGTCGGGATTCGGGGTCATGGGTACCGTTGGGTCTTGTCCGTAATTCAGGTAAAACGGTGACTGTTGGGTCGTGGCGGATGGGGCGTTGTTGTATGCGAATTCGATGAGTGGCAGTTGCTGTTCCCACGTGTTTGGGTCGTCGCACGTGGCCCGGATGAGCTGTTCCATGGTCTGATTTGTCCGTTCTGTCTGTCCGTCTGTTTCGGGGTGGTACGATGAACTAAACTGTAGGCGCGTGCCGAACTGCTGCCACAGGTTCCGCCAGAAGTTGCTGGTGAATTTCGTGTCTCGGTCGCTGATGATTGATTTTTTGCAGGCTGCGAAGTGTGCCATTTTCGTCAGTCGATCGACGACGACCAGGATCGCGTCATTTCCACTCGCCCCGGCCGGTAACCCCGTGACGAAGTCCATCGTCACCTGCTGCCAAGCACGCTCTGGAGGTGGGATTGGCTGCAACTGTCCCGCCGGCCGCTTCCGTGTTGACTTCATGATCTGGCAAGTGGGACACGATGCCACGTGTCGCTGCACGTCGGTCAACATTTCGGGCCAGTAATAATACCGCTGCAGCTGCTGCCGTGTTTTCTCTACCCCGAAATGTCCCGAGGTAACCCCGTCGTGTGCCTCTTGTAATATTAATTCCCGTAGCAGTGTGTACCCTGGTACCCAGATGCGGTCGGTCCCGGCTTTTACGTAATAGACTCCCTTGGCTGCTGCAAACTGCTGCGAATTTCCTCCTGTGAAGAATGGGTCCGTTTGATATCCGTGGGTAGATAGTCCTGTCAGTAGCGGGCTGGTCTGGGCGAGTAGTATCGCGTGGATCTGGGCAGTGGGGCGGGTCAGTGCGTCGGCGATGTTCGAGGCTCCTTTTTTATAGGTGACTGTGTAGTGGAAGTTTGACTCGAGGAAATCGAGCCACCGAATCTGTCGTGGGTTGAGGTGGGGCTGTGCGCGGAGGTACTGTAGTGATCGGTGGTCTGTCCGTACTGTCACGTCTGCGCCGGTCAAGTAGCAGCGCCACACTTTGAACGCATGCACGATCGCGAGCATTTCGCGGTCGTGTATCGGGTAATTTCGCTCGGGCGGATGCAGTTTTCGTGACTCGTATGCGATGGTCTGTAGGCCGTTGCCGAAGTCCTGTAGCAGTACGGCTCCAATGGCGATGTCGCTTGCGTCTGTAACAACCTCGAAGGGGCGGTGTGAGTCGGCGATGCGCAGGACGGGCGGTGAACAGAGAACATTTTTCAGGGCAGAGAAGGCAGCATGCTCTTTCTCCCCCCACGTAAAAACGACCCCTTTTCGCAGTAAATCCGTCAGCGGGGCAGTCAACTGTGCCATGTCGGGTACGAACCGGCGAACATAATTAACGAACCCTAAAAAACTCTGCAGTTCCGTGATGTTCGTCGGGGGACGCCACGCTTTTATCGTATCCAGCTTCTTTGGGTCGATTTCAACTCCAGCCTCCGAAATAACATGCCCCCAAAATTCTAGTCTGTCCCGAAAAAACTCGCACTTAGAGCCCTTGGTTAGTAACCGATGTTCCGCTAAAACTTTAAATACTGCTTCGAGATCCGCTAAATGCTGCTGCTTGTCGCGACTGTAGACGAGGATGTCGTCGAGGTAAACTATCACGCATTTATCTAAGAGTGGCCTAAACGCCTCGTTCATGGTCATCTGGAATGTTGCGGGCGCGTTGGTCAGCCCGAAAGGCATCACCGTGTACTCAAACGACCCGTACCTAGTCCTAAATGCTGTCTTGGCGCAGTCCGATGGTTCGACCCGAATCTGATGGTAACCCCCCCGTAAGTTTATTTTCGAAAACACCCGTGCTGTTCGCAGTTGGTCGATCAGTTCGTCGGCGCGGGGAATGGGGTACCGCGACTTGACTGTTACCCTGTTGAGCGCTCGGTAATCGATGCACATGCGAAACCCTCCGTCTTTTTTTGGTGTGAACAGTATCGGTGCGGCGAACGGTGACGAACTTGGTCGAATAAACTGCTTCTCTAACAAATAATCTAACTGCTTCCTCAGTTCGTCGAGCTCGGGCTGTGTCAGTCTGAACTGGCGCTGTACAGTTGGCTGTGCTCCCGGTTCTAACTCGATCCTATGATCATGCGCCCGCTGAGGTGGCAGCCCTTCCGGTAAGTCGTCTGGAAAAATACCCGGGTACCGTTTCAACAGTTCCTGTAGTTCGGGCGGTACTGCTGCCAACAGTTTCTGAAAATCGCTCGGCTGCTCCGCTTCTCCTACTAATGCTATATCTACTGCGTACACGTCAGCTCCAGCAGCGACAACCCGTTTCATCGTGATGGCGTTGACGTGGACCGTTGAAGACTCGGGCGACTGCCAGCGAGGTAGCATGACCCAGTTACCGCTACTTCGCACAGTGCAGCTACCCGTCGTCCAGTCGATTCGTGGGTTGTACCGTCGTAGCCAATCACGTCCCAGTAAAACATCATGCCCATCCAATGTCGTCGCGAGCATTTCCTGTGTAAACCCGAAGTTTCCCCCGGAGCGAACTTTTACTCTCTCCACCTTCTCCCGTATGGCAGCGGCGTGCCGTCAACTAAGCGTGCGTCGATCTCAGGTAAGCAGCGACTAAGTGACAGTTGTAATTTTCGCACAGTTGCGGTATTAACTAAACTGTGGCTTGCTCCTCCGTCAATAAAAATCTTCACTGCTGCTCCCTGTATTTTCCCGTGGATCAGTACTGGGCAATCCGTCGTTGTACCCTCCTTATTCATCCGAGCCCGATCGATGGCGTGAATCGGTACTGTGACTCGGTGAGGGTCGGTGCGGTTGGGCGAGCAGGCAGTCTCGTCAGTAGTTGGCCCAACTTCTACTGACTGCTGGCGTTTCCCTGCCTCTGAGACTCCCTCCCCTGCTCTGCTCCGCGGCGCCTTAGCTCCTCTGGGCATTCGCTCTTGCGATGGCCCGGCCTGTTGCAAGCAAAGCAGCGCCCCTTAAACGGTGCGGCAGCTGCATTCGTTGCAACAGCGTTTACAGTGGCGTGCTCGATCGGTCCCCGAGGACG